CACCAACATGTAAAAAATAAATAAATAAAAAACAGAATCACCGAGTTGGAAAAAAAAAAACTTGGCACACAAAGTAATTTGACTTTTGGTCATTTTGATTAGCTCAGCATGAAAAGAGCTTTCCTGGAGCATTTCAGTCCTTGGTAGTGCAACTGAAGCAAACAATCAACTGTGGGTGGCAAGACACTGTCAAAAGATCTCCGGGATAAAGTTGTGGACAGGCATAAGTCAGGAGATGGATAAAAAAAAATTCAAAGGCTTTATCAATGCCTAGAAGCAGTGAAGTCTATTATTAAGATGTGGAAGGTATTTGGTAAAACACAGACCCTCCCTGGATCAGGACGTCGCTCCAAATTGGATGAAAGAGCCAGGAGAAAACTGGTCAGAGAGGCTACCAAGAAGCCTACAGCGAATCAAAGACAAAAACAAAGAGCGGTCATTGTGTGCATGTGACAAGCAAGCACATTTACAAACAATAGATGTTGCCCCAAAGTGCTTTACAATGAAAAGAATTCGCCAATAAAAGAAAGAAAAGACATCACCAATAAAATGTAATATTACATGCAACAAACACAGTTTATTCAAATGCTAATGAAAATAAATACGTTTTTAAATAAGACTTAAAGGTGGCAACTGATGAAGCTGACCTCACATGGTATGGAAGACTATTCCAAAGTTTGGGACCTACCACAGAAAAAGCACAATCTCATTTCAATTTAAAATTACTATGCGGGAAACAAACAGGAGAATTTTGAAGCCAATCCTAAATTTAACAGGAAGCCATGTAAAGATACCAGTACAGGGGTAATGTGGTCCCTCTTTCTTGTTCCCATCAAAAACCTTGCAGTTGCATTCTGCACAAGCTGCAGGCAGGCCAACGCTGTATGAGGGAGACCAATATATAACGAATTGCAATAATTAATGTAGACAAAATAATAGAATGGACCACAATTTCCAAATTCTTCCTGGAAAAAAAATGCTTCATTTTGGCAATTGATCTCAAATTTAAAAAAGCTACCTTTAAAAACGGCACTGATCTGTGTATTAAAATGAATGATGCATCGGAAAATTACCCCTAGACTCTTAACATGATCATCAAGCTTTGAGGATAGTAAACCTAGCTGACCAGCAAAGGTAGGTGACATAGGAGACCATACAATCAAAACCTCATTCTTACT